CAAATTCTCCACCGGGCGGAGGCGCTTAAAAAGTACCCCTACAGTTTCTTCTGAAAATAGGAGTTCATGTGGCTCGAGAAATTGTGGGATTGTGTTATTATGGCCCAGAATTAACTCTCTAGCTTCAGGGGCTCCCATTCGAGGGCAAACCGGCAGAGCTATTGAAAAATTGTCCCGGAAGAGCCTGAGAAAGCGGAGGGATGTCATTGGAGATGGCTACTGATAAACTTGGAAACGTTCACTTTTAGGGGGAGTGACTTCGTTTTTGGTGGACAATTAAAAATCTAATCGGTTAAGCTATAAAAGATTTGAAAATCAGTTGAAATCTGAAGGACCCCGACAACACATCGTTTTGTTCGGTTTGTTTCATTTTTCTTTTTATTTGAGAGGGTTTCAGGGACTTTGGTTGGGGCTCCAAATTTTATCGATTTTACATCGCTCTTAATGGAGCTTGAATTAGTGCAGTGCAACCTGGTGGGTGAACCCTAGTAAACATGCCAATAGCCGTGTGCCGTGCTCATTAACAAAAGTTACATCTAAATGTTTTATATTAGAGAATTGTTAGAGCATTGAAATTGCACGGGAAATTGAAGAGATATTGAACTGAACCTCTGGCCTGGACTTGGAGCTTCTATAGTTCGAGCGATTTGGATGAAATCGTGTCTGAAAGTGGCACTATTTAGCCGTTTTTCAAGGCAGGTAAATTTTCTTTATTTTAGGGGTGCTCTGGTTTTGGTGAGAATTTCTCAAAAATTCTTCGGTCAACCCATCAATAGTTGAAAGGAAAATGAAAAAGGACATGCCAAACATCAATTTTGTTAGTGCAGCCTTAACACCTGTGAGAGTTGTATTTTTAAAAGAATTTGAAGTGTCGGGATTTATCACCGTCTATGGGAATTTACTTACAGGGGTGCACCCCGCTCCCTGAAATTTCATTCCGCGATCACGAACCTTAACGGACGAACTCTGATCCAAGGAAAGAAGGAAATAGGTTGCTTAAAAATAATTAAATGGTCATAAATTGCACAATATCACACCAGTGAGCATATAAAACCCAAATTTTCCGGGGCCCGTATTAGTAATCCGTATGTACTACATAGTAATCTGTACTTAAGAATTACATTGTTTTCTTACCGTATCCTAAATACACTTCCCTAAGAATCTACTGTTCGTAAATGTATACATGTATACAGAGAAAATGGAGAGTAGAATGTGCTGTTCCGATACGTACGGATTTCGTATGTACTTTGTACGTAGGCCTACGGTTTTGTAAATAATGATCCTGGGCACTGGTTGCATTCAGAATTCCGCCTTGAGCAGACTGAGCATCCCCTCATCGGTTGAAATGAGCAGAAGCGTATCCCTTCATGTGTTGAAACCTGAGAGCCATACTGGTGGGGAGTGTTTTTTTATTGGTAGGGCCGGACGCGTTCACAACGCATTTATCTCATTGTCATTCGGAAACCTGCAACTTGAAATGGAGTTCCTGAGGAGCCTTGGTCGCTAGGAAATCACACCCTCTCTTGTTGGCGCTCTGTCCCAATGAACTGAAGTTTAGTCATGCAATGCAACATGTGGACTTCTAATCCGTAAATAAGGTTTAGTGATCCGTACGTACGAAATAGTAACAGCGACTTCTGTAATGCCAGTTGCCAAGAGAATCTACTGTTAGTCAAAGAAATTTTTAACGGTGTAGCTTCAGGGTGGAATACTGGAATTACAAGTTTGACAAAGATGTTGGAGTCACGTGTTATTACTTTATTACAGTCAACGTAGGAGTTCTATCAAATTAATTCTCATATGAAACTAAACAAAGCGTCTGTATATATTTAGTTCCTTAACCCCGTCCTTGATGCTGTGAAGTGATGCTGTTTCTTCGAACTGAAGATATAAATTTATTGTGACACCTTTAATATTTCGTATTAAAGGTATATAGGCCTGCGTACAGCGCGAACACCACGTGACTGAATATCGGGCAAAGTCCCCGGTTATCTGACCAGCAGATATTGAAAGATCAGCAAAAATGAGTCGTGTCTTCAGCGCAACTACATGAATATGCATTTTGACGTCAAGATGACTCTCTGAATAATTAGGCTAACTTTCCCAGGCACGCGTTACGTTGTTAGAAAAATATGGAAGGGCTGCGTAGCACCGTGATCAGAACATCGACAAGAATATAATATCCAATTAGTACCCTGATTTGATATTATATTCTTGTCGATAAGCGTTACGTTGTTGTTTGGCGTTGGTCAATAATGTATGACAAATCCACCGATAGTGTAGTAGAAATGCGCTCGTTGACAGATTATCTATAAACCGACAATGTATCAGAAATCTAACATTAAAAGATCAGTATAGGGGAAGTATCAAAATAGGGGAGAGATGCAAATTGCGTGATATTGCGCATGCACACATTATTAGCGCAAGTATCTCAAAGTCTTCCAGTAGAAAGGAATAGTTACCTGGCACTGAACGTGCCTCAATGGTGGGTCAGGCTCTTGAAGACCATTTTTGGGTACAATCAAGATTGTGCTTTTTCAAAATATTGATGTTCTTTTCCAAGCAAACTTTGAATGATTAAGATGTCCTGTAACGACTAAATTTGATTCTTTACATTGGCATGCTAGCTTACTTCAGCGAGTCCGGGAATTATTTTGGCGCCGACCAGATCCTGAACATTTTTTGCGGGGGGGGTGCTGTTTTGGGGGCCGAAAACTTGGACAGTAACCTTCAATCGTCTTTCTGAGGAGGGAGGCTACATTTTGGGGCTCTTTACGAAGGGGGCTTAAATATAACCCCCCCCCAAAAAAATCATCTCTCTTCAAAGGGACAGGTTCCTGTTGAGAACGGTCCCCCACCCGGATCAGCCTTTGCTTCGGTGGACTTATAATATATCCAGGTAACTTATGTGCTGGACCCACTTGTGCCGTGTGCCGCTAACGTGCTACTTTGTCTTCTTCTAAGGATGATCGAAACTCAAGGACTGACTAGTTCAGGGACCAAAATGTAGGGATTGGCAGGACGGACAGGACAGACAATGAGGCCTTTATTTACTGGTTTTTGGTGAGAATCATAGTATTTTGTCTCTATATTTAGTCCAGACTTCAATAAAACAATAAGTGATGGACGTTACCTTCGTCACGGTTGGAGGACTGTATGTCTCAGCCAGACTTTCTGCCCTAATGTCACTCACTTCGGACAACTTTAAGTTGTGAAAGGTAGGACTCCTGGATGGGATGCCAGTACTACCAGCACGCTGATCAGCAGGCGTATTCCCCGAGGAATATTCAGCGGGTCCCTAATCCCATGCTTACTCCTAATAGTTCGGCACCTGCGCTGCCTTACGTCCGTTCTGCTCACTGCTGAGTCTCGTCCCTAAACCAACGTCCGCTCCTGTCGACGAACCGATGAAGGTGTGCTCCACTAAAACGCCCCAGCTCAACGATATTTTGTGACCCTGAGGGTTATTTACAGTAAGAGGTGCCACAATCGGGACCGATCATAGAAATTGTTCTATAAATCACGAATTTGCGACCGTGGCTTTCATCTTGGGGTGGCTGCGTTGAGAGCTGAGCTCGTAGTTTTATTACTCTCTAAAGGCAAAAGAGTGAAAACCTCACTCTTAAAAAGTACTGCAATTTGTTTTAAAGAGTTGAAACTACTCCAACGAGTGATTTTGTGCTTTAGGCCCCTATATAGCTCCTCTTTTTGAGTAATTAACACTCTTTTAGAGTTGTTTTGACTCAGTACTCATTTTAGAGAGTTCTTTCATTCGTTTGAAGTTGTTTTATGCAGGGACTCACTCTTTTTGAGAGTGAAATTTGTCACTCTTTGGGGTATTTTCGGAGCAGGGCAAATAAAAAATTGCACGGCTAACCGTGATAAAATTGAAAAGAACGCTGAAGATCTGGCCATAATCTTGAGTTTGTTGTGAAAACGCGAAGGTCACCATGCAGCGCTCTTCCCGATTTTGCACTGCTTTCTAGAGGATATATGCTGACGTCTTGGAGGCTGTTCTTTGCAAGTATTTAACTGTAGTTACAATGAACGCACAACACGTTTACTCGAGCCTGATATCCTAGAGACAGAAAGAAATACCCTAGTGACGTCATTCACAAGGTCGGTAGGATCTGCTCTTTTGACGTTACAAGTGCCTACTAAACCATGGTTGGCCGTTTGTACAAAGGTTCACAAAGTAAAAACCCCACACAGCTGTTACAACACCAGAGCGTATTTTATGATTTTGAACGAATCGACAAACTCTGGCCTACCATACAAGTTGTAGGTGAAATGGCATGTATTTACGGGCATAAAAAAAAGAAATTTTAGGGTTGCAGTCTACTAATTCAAGTGAGAATTTCTTGCCAGCTCATTAGCATTAAAAGCCCCCCACAGTATTTTTTGAAAAATGAGATTGTTTGGCTTCAAATGATGCGATTGTGTAAATCGTTGGCAGGATCAACTCCCTGGGTCTTTGAGATTTCATATGAGTGCAGAATGGCTAAAAATACGGTTGAAAAATGGTCCAAAGTGCCTGAGAAAGTTGAGGGTTGCCACTTGAAAAATGGCTGCAATCAGACTTCGGAAAAATCACTTTTGGGGGGTGATTTTTTTTGTGGGAATTTAGTTTGTGTTTCAGAAATATTAGGGATGCTGGTATGTATGTTATTGGTCCCTGAACAGTGCTGATTTACACTGTTTTCAACAGGGCTTGAATTAGTGGATTGTAGCAGGAGTGCCCAGCTTACCGACTGGGGGCGCTGCGTAAACTATCAGCAGGCTCGCTCGATTCACGTGGTGCTTTAAGTTCATGCATATTTACCACTAGCGTTCCCGTCTAGTTGTGCTCATATGTTACAGCGCCGAGAAGAACACGTACACAACCCCCAAATACCGTACGCGTACGGTGCATGTGACGTGGGACCCTGGGAACTGTAGCTGTACACATCTACTTTGTAGGTATATGTAGATTTCTTTCCCCTTAATAATTGTTAATTGCTGGTGCTGTTTCGCTTTTCTTAGTTTTAGTAGGCCTGATGTTGAACACGTTGATGGTTCAACATTGTTCACGTGGCGCTATGGACAGTGACATGCATCAGTAGTCAGTGTACATAACATGTACAGTACATGTACATGTACACTGTATATCACTCGGTCATGTCAGTATGTAGGTGTTGATACATGTATGCATACATACGACTACATGTAGGTAGCGTAGGCTAGGCCTGCGTTTACCATGGCTACATCGCTTCTGAAGGCTCCGATCATGGACCTAGGCTATAGCTCTAATGTAAGCCTACCTTTGCTGAAGCAATATTTTTACCTCAGCTTTGTACAGTTTACATGATGTGTGCACTAGACTAGTGCTGTTCATCATGTTCATGGCTAGGCTAGGGCCTATCTAGCCGAGGTGGACTCCCTGACCGTACTACGTTATGGAGGGAGTCCAGGGTATAAATGGTGCAAAATTGGGCAAAAATAACTTCGGCAATAACTAAAATTTGCAACACTTCTACCTTTTCCAAGGAACCAATTTCACGCCTGTAACTCCTATGCATCCTTATCTCCACATCTGGTGGGTTACAAAATTCGACACATCACCACCAAAGACAAAAACGGGAAAATAAAGTTGGACGTAACGTTAATTCTTGCCATTGTTGTGGACTGTTTTCAGCCGTTCTCCAGTGCAGTTCGTACAGTACACAGTACCGGTATGCATGTGCAACTATTCAGTGTACGAGATTCCGAGCAGTGTACACGTACATCGAAACTACATGTTCTGACTGGAACCACCGAAACTGAAGTCTAAACAAATCCACTAGTTTTGAAAACGCTCACCGCATCGCACAACGGCACGGTGATTCTCAGCCACAAGTACCATTGATCTCCATGCCGAGTACACACAATCGGGCCAGGGGCGAGGCTGTGGCGTGCGTTGGTGACAAGTTGGCCTAGTTACCCGCACGGCGCAAGCTGGGTCTACTATGGCCATTAGGGGAAAGTTAAACTTCATGATTTGTACAAATTCTGGCCATTTTTGAGCATCTATTATATGTTAACAGGTGGACTTAAAATAGACAGACAAAAGGTGTCCAGAAAATTCGATAGAAGTTAAGGGACCCGGCAGTTCTGTGATGAAGGAAGGTTTTGGCACATTTCTGTTACTAGCAATTTACTAATAGGCATATCTGTTGATTTGTTCCATTTTAAAAGTCATACTGAATACATTTTGTAAGAGATGGAGAACTTTTCCAGAAAGCGCTTGCTAGATAAATTTGTTTAAAATAAACTAGACTGATCTGAGAGTCAAAAATGGCATTTAACAATCTCTTGGGCCTGAATTTAAAAACGAAAAATCACCTACTTTGAGGTTTAAAAACTTCGACACAGTCTAGTTAGTGTATATCTGTCCATTGCTCTAAAATCCAACTCGTCACTGCCAATTACCAATTCAGTCTGCTGAATAAAAAAAGGAAAGGCTGATCAACAGCACGATTTGTGTATGATCGCTACTTACCGCACGTGCGCGCGCCAGTACTGCCTCTGCATACTTTGTGCCCCAGCAATATAGCATCACTCTCGCCTGTTCATCACAACCATCATGCCCGCAATGTATTCCTCTTTTTATTCCTCATTTATCAAGATAAGTTACTATTTGATTTTAATAAAAATCAGATCTCTGCAATATTGTGTATTTATCCATCTTTAGCCAATAAATCTCTATGAACAAATTAAAGATGTTAAACACTTCAAAGAGAGATCGTTGATGAACTTCTTGCCGAACCCTACATATACAAAGCCTTCTACGCTAACCGAGGTTATTCTTACAAAATAGCAGCTTGTGTCACAAATTTATATTTATAAACCGAAATTTAAAGGAGAACAAAATCTGAACATTTTAGGGGTAATCGATAGTGGGTTAATTGGTCAGTCCGATGCCCCCGATCCGACAAAAATGGAACTGCATATTTTTATATCAGCTCGACGGCACGCGGGTTAAATCCGGGTACCAGTTACGGCCTCCGTGTAGCAGGTAAGCAACAGACCTTCACTGGAAATTGCGCACGCGTAGTGTGTGCACGCAGCTTGGATTCCTGTACTGTACGTATGTGCACTTTACAACTGCACTCGAGAACGGATGAATTAGGTCTGCAAAAGTAACGTTGTCTCTCACTTATTTTCCTCGATTTTGCAGTCCATGGTTCGTTTTATTATTCCTAAACCCCCAGACGGATAGATAAGGCCTCTAAAAACTTGTAAACGTGTAAACTTAGTTTCTTCAACAGGTAAACCAAGAACAAATTAGAACCAAATTTGCGGTCCTTTTGCACACAACTTTTATACCCCGGACGTTAGTCGTAATGAAATGAAGGCAATGTCCAGCCTGGGCTAGGGCCTTTCATGCCTATGGCCTAGGTGCATTTGTGCTAAAATTGCAGGCCTATATTAGCAATGGAATTCTATTTTGGCCTGATTGTCGAATTAGTTTTCAATCTGCAAAGTATACTTTTGTTTTTAATTGTGAATCTTGTGCTCTTTAAGTTTGGTGGCTATGACCATTCGAAACTGTACGTTGAACATTACGCTGCTCTGGAAACAGACGTTGGCATGCTTTCTGTGAACTGGTGAATGGTTCGCAAGGCCGTGTTCTGTGACGTTGTCAATTAGACATCAACATACAGTTCAAATCTTGTCAACAAGAGTGTTTCAGATTTGAAGGGGAAATTTCTCTTTTCTTCCCATATGGCAGGTTCCTCAAAATATGGACCATTAGATAATATTCAACTTTGGGGTTCATATTTCCTGAAGTGAACAGCAGTGAATTAATTCCAAATGTCTGATGAAATGAGGAAAGTTTTGACTGTCTGGAACAATGATGACTGTGCCCATCTGTCAAATCAATTGGAGTGGATTAATTAAAGTCTCGAACATCAACATTTTTGAGTGAACAAACTGTTGAAATCCAAACCAATAAAAGTTACCAGGGAGTGATAATCCCCGCAGGTATTTTACACAGTGGTGAAAGGTGATAATATTCACACAATGTACACTGACCAACTTGTACATGGTTTAGCTAACTTGTATGCCAAACAAGTTGTATGCCAACCAACTTGTACAGTGATCAACTCTTATGTCAAGCAAAATAGTCATTTACAAGTACCAACTGGTACATGTAAATGACAGAGTGACTACTAATACACTGTATGTGCTCAGTTGTTTGGTTCAATGAATTTTATTGTTTCATTGCTGGCTGTATAAAAATGTGCAACTGGATCACGTCAATGTACTTTGTTTAAAGAATTTTTACTAGGACTGTTGACAGTAATCGTGGAACTTTTCAAATATATGCCTTTTTGTTGCAGATTTTCTTTGAGACAAGTGACAGATTACAAAAAGCACATAAAGCATGCTGTCCAGATTGTGCAGAAGCTTACTGCAAACCACTTCAGTTTCATCTGTGGTCAGGTTACAGAGTGGTGCAGCAGTAACATCTCAACAGGTGTTTGACAGAGAAGCTCGTTATGGTGCACACAATTACCAGCCACTACCTGTGGCATTAAAGAAAGGCAAAGGTAATGTAATACACTGTACTATATTACGAGTTTTGCTGATCTAAAGCTACATGTATGATTATAACAGTTAAGGCCAGTTATGTGTATACATACAGTACATGCTGGCACAGCTTTTGTCATGGTTTCTGTAACTGACATTGGTAGTCATTCCAGTGTTCCATTTCATGAAATTGACCATGTACGTAATATCCATGTATCTACACGTAGACTTACATCAATCAGAAAGCATTACTACATGTAGTGTCTGCAGTGATCCAAAATTAGCATCGTCCAATGGAAACCTTATAGACAGTCCGTCTTGCTTTTGAACATGTATCGATATATGTACACTACATGTACAAATTACAGCAAGCATGTAGAGATTATTTTCTAACTCAATCATGCATGACCAAGTAAATACTGGTAGTTATTGATAATCACCAATTTGCACTTTGAGACTTACATGTATGTGTAGTGAATGATATCCATACTATGTGCAAACCTACATTGTAGCAGATAGATAAAACTCTACATAGGATGTCACAAGACCACTTAGACTGATGACCTACCCACTGTGCTTATTGTACATCTATTTGCTTATGAGACCTTTTTGGTGTGGAAAAGTTGCAGTTTGATTTTTTATAAATACCTCAGTCTGGTAACAGGTTTTTATATCGTGTCTTCAACTAAGATCAAAGCAGTTTCATTATCATTACACCTGCTGGTTGGGGCCATGAAACATTCAGAATGCCATCTCAGCTCCCTGGGAAGTACATGTACATGTACATGTACATGCATACAGCTTGATGCAGCCATTTTGGTGCAAACCGGCCAACTCGGCCACAATTATTACAGTATCACTGCTCTCACAGGTACATGTACATGTACCCAGTTACTCTTGGATGGGGAGAAGCAATGGGTAAACAAAGTGCCCTGCCTAAGGGCATACATGTACATGTATGTGCCATGACCCATGGCTGGATTCAAACCTGTGACTTTACTGGCAGACTACAAATCCAATGCACTTTAACCATGAGGCCACAGCAATCTGCAGGTGAGCCCAGGGTGTCTGGTGTACCTCATATACCGGTAACTGCATTTTTGGCGAGCTGCAAAGCAAGTGCGAGCCTGCCGGTATGTAATACAGATATCCATCTTCTGTCCGTCCGTCCATAGGGGCGTGCGTCTGGCTGGCCGTCCATCTGAGTTTACATAAATGTTAAAGTTTTTCCTTGCAGGTCCATAGGAGTTAAAATGTGCCATTGAGTGCTTGTTTGCTTCTTGTTGAAATTCCATCAGTAGTTAAATAGTCTCATATGGCATTAATGCTTAGAAACTTATGAATTTAATGAAAAAATTATAAAAGTTGAATGTTAAAGTTTTTAATTGTATTGTGTACTTGCCCTGTAGTACATACAGTACATATGTACTGAGCACTCCTGTTATGTACATGTATGTATGTATAGACAGTGTTCAGACACATACAAATCATACATGTACAGTATGTGGGGAAAATGTAAGGGATGGGGGGGACTCCAAGTGACAGATTAGGATGTTTGTTGGGGGAGGGGTTCCTGTAGGAGGAGGATCATGGGGACAAAGACACGTTTGTAGAAAGTGGATGAAATGCTGGATAAGGTTGGCGTAATGGTTGGGCTGGATT